TCCTTCAGGATCATTGGCTCTTGATCATATGCTACCTCTTGAAATGGTTGAACATAAACCATTTCCTTTTGGTACAGTGACTCTGTGTCTTCCTTCCATCTTCTCTTGATACTTTCTGTATCATTCAATATTTTGCCCAGTGAATCTTTCAATAATGAAAGTCAAGGCTTGAATTTTTTCTTCAGTTTCCCTAGCTTGAGAAGTGCTGAGCATGTTCTTCCTTTTTGGTTTTCTGATTCCAGATCTTTGCATATTTTGTTGTAATAATTGGTTTTATCTTCTTGAGCTGTTCTTTGAAATTTTCTGTTCAACTCTTGTACCTCCTCATTTCTTCCATTTGCTTTAGCATCTCTACACTGGAGAGCAAATTTCAGTGTCTTCTGACATCCGTTTTAACCTTTTCCTTTTTTCTTGTCTTCTTAATGACTTTTTTGCTTTCTTCATGTATGATGTTCTTGATGTCATCCCACAACTCTTTTGGTCTTCGGTCTTTAGTGTTTAATGTATCAAATCTTTCTTCAGATGATCTCTAAATTCAGGTGGGATATATTCAAGGTCATATTTTGGCTCTTGTGGATTTGTTTTCATTTTCTTCAGTTTCAATTTGCATATGCATAATTGATGGGCTTCCCTGTAGGCACATGGATATTACCCTATCATAGACAGCGTTGTACCTCATGACTGATCTGGATATATTCTTCTTGACAATGAATGCAACACCATTACTCTTCAATTTGTCATTCCCGGAATAGTAAACCATGGGGTTGTATGATTCAAAATGGCCAATACCAGTCCATTTCAGCTCATTAATGCCTAAGATATCAATGTTTATGCGTTCCATCTCATTTTTGACAACTTCCAATTTTCCCAGGTTCATACTTCGTACCTTCCGTGTTTCGAATTTCAGTGGATGTTTACAGCTATTTCTCTTCATTTTGAGTTGTGCCCCATCAACAACTGAAGGTCCCATGGGCTTTTCTCCCACGGGCTTTGCTATATTCACGTCATCATGGTCAACTCTACTTTGAGGAGGCAGCTCTTTCCCAATCTCACTTTGAGTGCCTTCCAACCTGAAGAGCTCATTTTCCGGCACTACATCTAACAGTGTTTCTCTGCTATTCATAAATATTTGGAAGGGGTTCATCACTCCTTCTTCCTAGTCTGTCTTCAACTTGAAGCTCATCAGAAACCTGTCCACCATGGGTGACCCTCCTGGTATTTAAAATACTAGTGGCATAGCTTTCAGAATTACAGCAACACACAAGTCACCACAGTATGACAAACTGACAGAAGAGTAGTGCTACTGCCTATGAAATCCCACATGGGGTTGAAGTCCTGATCTGGATCTGTTCTTTTTGACAATTATTGCAACACCATTCCTCTTCAATTTGTCATTTCTGGCATAGTAAACCATGTGGTTGTCAGATTCAAAATGTTTGTTGGGGTTTACAGACTGGGCTAG